AATTAATTACATTTCATTAATGATCAGATAATTATGTTTTAAAAAAAACACTATGTATAAACATATTGCGTAAAACAGTTATCCATTAGAAATTCAGCTGAGATGCTTTAAAAAAACAGCATGAGGTAATATAAATAATAAATAAAGTAATAAATAGAAAGAAGGAGAATATTTTATTGGTACAAAATTCCCTTGGTTTTTTCTTCAGTTCCTGTAAAATAAAAAAATAATGGAGGACATATTAGCTGTTGACTTCGCAGCTTCTGACAACAGTAATGATGGCGGGTATAATTGAAAATTGAGTATTCTGAGCAGCATCACATTACTCCTAACCTCACTCTGGACTGGACCCAGGGGAACACATAAATGGAAAATATGGGAAATAACTGCGTCATGTGGAGGCAAATCAGACTGTCGTCATTGTCCATTTCACTCTCCCTTTCCCCGTCCCCATCATCCACCCTAAACCACCCCCTCCAGTTGAGCCATGCAGATGCAGAGTTACAGCAACACCCAGTGGCAGCCCAGTGCAACAGATTAGTTCATCGGCTATGATAAGTTGATGCATTCATATGGAACCATAACATAAGTAAAATGTAATGCATTACTTTTGCAGTACTTTTTCTTTCTTTTTTATATTTAGCTGTTCATACATCAATAAATACAGGACACATTTGTAAAAAGGACTCAAAGACAGAGAGCAAAAGCATTAAAGGCATTGTTCTTATAAAATCTGAAACCAAACAATTGAACGGCTAATCATTTTTTAAAAGTGATTTATTTTTTCACTCCCCAAAAAATAATTATGCTAATTATGTGTGTATTATTTAGAATAATGTCTTGACTCCTTATTACATCATAAGCTCCTGGATCATTTTACAGTGATTTCAGTATAGTGATTACTCAAACTACTAATTGTAGTTTACTAGGCATTACATCTTTACATTCAGTTCAGTTTATTTATACAGGGCCAAAACACATCAACAGTCTCCTCAAAGTGCTTTATACTGGAAGGTAAAGATCTACTATCTTTGAGAGAAAACCCCACCAAGTAGATGATTTCCTATGAGCAGGTACTTGGCAACAGTGGGAGGGAAAAACTCCCGTGTAACAGGAAGATAGCTCTCCCAGAGGCAGGCTCAGAAAGGGTCAGCCATCAAACACAACAAGTTAGGAGGTGATGGGAAAGTAAAAGAAAAAAAGGTAAGCATAGAGAGACAGCACAAAACACACACTATTGCAGAGAGAAGACACAATTTCATGACATTAAGTAGTGGTCTCTAAACACCTGGGGAATGAAAGGGGTGAGTGGAAAAGAAATGCTCAGTGCATCACGGGAAATCCTCCAGCAGCCTGAGGCTATAGCAGAATAACAGCAGGGACGGTTCAGGGTCTGATGAAGAAGTAACTTTAAGCTTTATCCAAGATGGAAGGTTTTTCTTTCTGGTTCCAAGGTTGAAGCGCCTTGAGGCGACATTTGTTGTGATTTGGCGCTATATAAATAAAATTGAATTGAATTGAATTGAATTCCAAAGGAGAGGGGACTCAATTTGAGTCTTACCTATGGTAAATTCAGTTGTTGGACATGATTTGGAAATGCACACATCTATCTATGCAGGTCTAATAGTTTATAGTACATGTTAGAGCACAAACCAAACCATGATGTCCAAAAAATTGTCTGTAGGCATCCAAGACAGGATTGTGTTGAGGCACGGATCTGGGGAAGGACACACAGAAATGTTTGCAGCATTAAAGGTCCCAGTGAGCACAGCGACCTCCATAAAATGAAGAAGCTTGTAACCACCAGCTCTGCTAAAGACAGAAGTGAACCTTTCAGAAGGACAACCATTTCTGCAGCACTTTACCAATCAGGCCGGTATGGTAGAGTGGCCAGGCAGAAGTCTGTAAAGGCACACAACAGCCCACCTGGAGTTTGCAAAAGAGACACATGAAGGACTTTCAGACCATGAGAAACAAAACTCTCTCGTCAGATGAAACAGTGATTGATCTCTTTGGCCTGAATGCCAAGCGTCATGTCTTGAGGAAACCAGGGACCACTCATCACCTGGCCAGCATGGTTGTGGCAGCATCATGCTGTGGGGATGTTTTTTGGCAGCAGAAACTGGGAGACTAGTCAGGATCGGGGTAAAGATGAATACGGCAATGTACAGAGACACTCTTGATGATAACCTGCTCCAGAGACCCTGGACTGGGCTAAGTACACCACAAAGATAATAAAGGAGTGCCTTTGAGACTACTGTGAATCTCCTTGAGCCACGCAGCCAGAGCTCAGACTTGAACCCTGTTGAACATCTCTGAAGAGATCTGAAAATGCTCAGGGGCAATGCTTCCCATCCCAAGCTTGTACCATCATATCCAAAGAGGCTTGAGGCTGTAATTGTTGTAAAAAGTAAAGTACTGAACAAAGACTGTGAATATTTATGTACAGGTTACTTTTTTTTTTGTTTTTATTATCAATAAATTTGCAAGAATCTCAAGTAGAAATTTTTCACTTTGTAATTACGGGGTATTGTGTGTAGAAATTTGAGGTGAAAAAATAATGTATTCAATTTTGGAACAAATCAAGGGTGTAGCATGCCATAATGTGGACCAAGTGAAGCACTGTGAGTACTTTCTGGGTGCTCTGTAAACCTTCACTGAAAATTCATCTAGCATATATTAGAACTAAAGAGATGAGCCTTTTCGGCTTTATTCTAATCTATTTATCGACCAGGTGTTCTTGAACAATCACAATAAACACACATCTTATCATTTTATATACACAATGTAAATGGATCATCAGAGGACCAGTGATGTTATTTACATCCTTGTAGTTGATGAGTATTTCGTACTTGGGCTTATAATCCTATTCCTTATCTAATCAGTGGATCAGTATGTGCAACAAACCCTCATGCCTGTAATAAAGATGAAGAGCCATTCTGCTTTTTCAAGTGTGCAGCACTTGTGAAAGGGGTTGTGTAGTACCATTGTTGTTTTTCATCTTGGATAGAGTACTTTATTCATGAAGACCATAAATCAGTGGCCAGCATCTTACATAAAACCTCATCAGGGCAGGAATTTAACAACCTAGAGTAATTCAAGCTTCCATCAAGAACCACACAAAAAGTGAAAAACCTTTGGTACATAAGAAACATAAAAAAAACCCACTCTGAATGTGCAGAAACAGATTTAGCCTTTTCAGTCAACGCTGCTTCTAAGTTTCCTGTTGTTTTCAAAAATGAGTGGAAAATTGATGTCTTTAGCTGTATCCTTGAGTGAATTTCTAAAGATGGTCATTGCACAGAATTTTTTAAGTGTGAAAATTCTTCTGTAAAATATCAAAACACTGAGAACAGCCTTACTTAATTCTCACAAAAGAGCGACAAAGGATTTATGTTTGAAGCCCAAAAACAAAGGTGGAGAAAAAAGATAATCCCTATTGTTCTGTGTGGATATCAGGTGGTTCAGGAAATTATCTTTTAATTTCCCAGTTTAGGTAATAAATGGAAGGTGTGTGAAGATTATTGATTCACATAATGTTCTTTCTTCTTAATAGGCATCTCATTAAGTTTTCTACAGTGTCCTACACCTCTGCACCTCATTTTACTTTACAATTATGTGATTCCATCACAGTTTCCTATACAGTCCACCTCCTTAGGCATTTGGCAGAAAATTAGATTGGAGTAAGCACGTACTGTAATACAAGATGAGGCCAGTCCACCCTGTTCTCATTATGCTTTCAGATGTGCAAATAAAAAGGAAAAAAAAGAAAGAAAAACAATTTTCTATTCATAGACATAGCTGGTGAAGAGACCTGCCCTTGATGATACTGTCATGTTTTGCGTACGGCAGAGGGCTGGAGCTACAGAGACTGACAGAAAATAACTTTGACAAATGGAATTAAAGAAGAGAAGGAGATTATTTTTTTATCTGTACCCAATGCAAATATATAATTTTGCACATTTGCTATTTAAATATAGCCATCCTCTGAAGTTAATGGATTACATGGCTTGCATTCTGCATACTGTGTGATCGAACGGGATGTCTGGATCAACTAGAAGAGAGAAAGCAAGCTCAATAAGTGCCACTGAATGCACTGCAGATGACAGTTTGTATTTGGTATGTAGCCATGTAGATGGCGCAGTAATGCAGTAGTTGCAAGAAGAGTCTGGTTTTTAAATATACTGTCTTCTCGGGGTCTTCCTGCATGAAGCTTGCATGTTCTCCCTCTGCCTGTGTGGATAACCTGCGGGTGCTCTGTTTCTTCTGCAGTCCAAAGACATGCACGCCCGGCTAATTTGTGATTCTAAATAGGTCGCTGATGTAAGTGTGAGCGGTTGTCTGCCTTTCCTGTCATGAACTGTCCAACCTGTCCAGAGGCGTACTTCTCCTAACGCCCTATGAGAGACAGAATAAGCTCCAGCTCGAGCTGCCGGAGTGGTAAGGATATGGATGGATGGATGTAGACATGGATGTAGTTACATCTGAGGGGTTAAATTATAGACTCTCAGTGGTGTCACTGACCTGCAACTAAAATACGGACCAATACAAAGTGAGAATTCGATGGGGTGTTTTTATACTTTAAACACAGTTCATTTCATTTTGATATCTTAGGCCAAGAGAGATATATATTCTCCATCAGAACTGCATCACTATGATCACACTGGGAAATGAATTCCACCTAGAAAGCTTGATTTGTAAAAAAATAAGACATTATACTCTGCTGTATACGCTAAAAACTACCTTATTTAATGTATTTATCTATCTTTATCTACTTTTTGTTATTATTTAGGCTCTTCAGTATTTGAAATGTTAAAACCTCATCTCTTGGTGGTGCAGTGCAGCCTCTGGCCAGCAGGGGGATGAAGAGTCTACGCTCCCCTCCTCGGCTCATCTTTGGTTTCGCTTCAAACTTTGCCTGAAAGTTTTTTAGTGGGCGGAGACCTTCCGCTACACTTCATCCAATAAGCAGAACCTGTCAGTGATGGGCTCCGGGGTGGCAGGATTACGGACGGTCCGGTGTTAAACTAGGTGTCAATTAGCGGAAGACTTTCACCGGTGAGCAGCCAAGCTACAGCGTAAGGTGACCAAACAGGCAGAAATTATTACTGTGCCTTTTCTTAAAGTATCACTTGGATGTGGGTGTGTGTGCTGATACTAATTGACCTTATTTGAAAGGCTTGCTGCAGGTTCGTGGCTTCCGTGCTCCGTAATTAATGAATGTAACGAATTCTCGCCTCTTTTTGCCCTCTCGTTAGAGTTGTTCAGAAGATTAAGATGGAGTGGCGTCAGCAGACCAGTGTGAGCAGTGCAGACGCATTCAACGAGGCCAAACGCTGGATTGAGGTAGCTGCAGGTTCAGTTCTTCACCCTTTCCTGTCCCTTTATTTACTTCTGAGACGTGCTTCTCTTCACTTATTGCAGACAATTAATTACAAGCAATTAAGAAGGTTTGATGTCGCTTTATTTTAACCCGCTGTGAAGACAGGAAATCTAACGTTAACCAGAAGCAGCCATGCAAAAGCACCTGTGCATAATTTGTATCGTTGAAACTCACTATAAACTCATACACTTTTAAACTGACTGAGGCTCTGTGCTCTCAAACATCAAGCGTGGCATCTTTTGCATACTTAATCTTTCGTTTCAAAGGCAAACTGTGCCTTGATAAGACTCAGGGCTTTTTATGACCCTTACCTATCTGAGAAGTCTGTTTGCTCAGAAAGTATTTGACTGCAGGTCTCAGGGCTTCAGAGGTAAATTCAAATACAGGAAAGGCATATAAATCGTTAATATTTAAAAGAAGCTGGAAAATAATAATGTGCACACTTTACTTGAGGTTTGTTTAGTGTCAGTGTGCTGATGTTATATAAGACATGGGTTAAATTTGCTAAATGCAACACTTTGCACGCTACCCTGGCATGTGGTGTAGGCAGGCAGGCTTTGCCTTGCATGCATTGTGGAGGATGTGGTTTGAGTGTGGTGCATTTTCTAGGTTATTTCAGGCTGCTCCTGTCCAAACTAGAAACTGTGATCCTTAAATCATAACCGATGGCTACAACTTGTAGACGGTGGGCACTGGATGTCGACCAACTCTAAATGGGACCAGTAATGTCACTTGTGTCCGAGCAGATCATTATGAGAATTTTGTGCAGGGGTCTCTTGGCAGAAAGCCCGTGCCAGTTTTGCACGTCTATTTTCCTGCACTGACGGATGAAAGAACGGGTGAACCGTGATGAGGCATGTATGTGTTAGACGGGAGTATAGCGAGGCCTGCTGCTCGCAAACAAGTAAATACACTGTTCCTTGAGCCAGATCACAATGGGAACGTGTTGGCACTAATATCTCCAGCTACAGGTTGGGGATAATAAGCTTCCATATATTCAAGCATCCAAACTGTTTTATCATTGGCACAGAACTGGCAGCAACATCATTTAAATGTTTGCTGTACTCGAGGAGAAATTATAATGAATCGGGCTATTTGATATAACGTCATAGTTTCTTGGAGAAGCAGAAGATTCCCCCTCCTGCTGTCCAGCATGTATTCTCCTCATTTAGAATAACACCATCATCCCTTCATTAAGATGAAACATATTGACTGTAATTCAGGTTTTTTTATTTTTATTTTTTAACAAACCCCATGTTTGACCAGTGAATATTTGGCATTTTTGAAAAATTCCTGCTTTATTTCCTGATAGCAACTTGCTGCGGATTAATTGGCGGATCATTGCAGCTCTTAATAATACATTATTGTAAAGACTACATCTAATGATGCTTGTTTTTCTCCCACCCGGGGTCATTTGATCCTTTTTTGGCTCGGAGACACTCTATTTAGACAAATGAAGCAATCTGGCGAGGTTTGTGAGTTGCACACGGATAAAATTCATTTAATTTGTGGTTTCTCGGGGACTATTGTTCATTAAAATGACCACGTTACGCGTTTGATGCTGTAGAACAGACGGCATGCCACGGCACAGCCGCATTGTGTGTTATTGTGTTAACCTTGCGCTGCATTGTTTGTCTGATTCCACTGAGACGCATTCGCTCTGTACCCAGCGCCTGATTCTACTAAAAATGAATTGTAATTGTGGATTCCTGGGGGGACTAATTAGTGAGAAGAATAGCCTTTTGGGGCCCCGTGTTAGTTATGGAGCCGAACCTTAATAGTCCCATTTTTATGTCCTCATTACAAAACCCCGCTTGCCTTGTTCTTGCTCCTGCCATGTCAAATCATTTCCATAGGTTATGCTATAAATATTGTTCAGAGCAAAAACAACTTTTGAGTGGTTGTGTGAATGCTTGTTTACATACATTTTATGGCTGCTTTTCTCTGTAGATGTATTGTAATTATTTGTTTTTATGTGGCAGCTGGAGAATATTTCAGCTGCTCTTGCCCAACTCACTTAATTTACTCTTATAGTTGACAGCAACAACTACAAGAGGTAGTGTGTATATTTTTGTCTTTTTAATTAACTTCAACTGAAACTATGGCTTCCTAATGTTTTTCGCATAGTTGTTTTTGACACAAAGTAGTGTGTATGCACTCACTGGCCACTTTATTAAGTACAACTTGCTATACTGGTATAACTTGCTTGCAAAACACTTAATTCTTCTTGGCATGGATTAAATAAGGAGCTGGAAACATCTCCCAGAGATTTTGCTCCGATCACACGGTTTCTTGATTTGACTTTGCTGTCCCCGCACATCCCAAACGTGCTCTAATGGTCTGAGATCTGGTAACTGCCAAGGTCATTTGAGTAAAGTGAGCTTACGATCGTGTTAAATAAACCAGTTTGACATGATTTGAGTTTTTGGCATCGTGTTTTATCCTGCTGGAAGCAGCCATCAGATAATGGGCACATGATGGACACAAAGGGATGGACATGGTCAGCAACAATACTCAGGTAGGCTGTGGTGTTTGAATGATGTTCAACTGGTATCAAGCAGCTCAAAGTGTGCCAAGAAAATATCCCCCACACCTTTAAACCATTACCACCAGCCTACACTGTTAATACAAAGCATACCTTCTGCGTACCTTGATGGCGGTAGCCAGTAGTCATTTGAGAGACTGTTTCCATCCTATCGGCTTGAAGCAGTCGGGCCGTCTCCAGCTGACCTGTGACATCAACAGGGTATTTTCACCCAGAGATCTGCTGCTCAATGGAGATTTTCTTTTCCAGACCATTCTCTGTAAAGCATAGAGATGCTTGTTCATTATTCATTATTTAGGCACCCATTAGTCGTTACCACAGCAACTGCTGTTCTTCCTGAGGTCCACAGGAAGATCTGGTGGGATTTTCCCAGTAGATCCGCAGTTCTTGAAACACTCAGAGCTCCGTCTGGCTGCGTCAACCATGTCAGGTTTCTTACACATTCTGATCATTGGTTTGAACTTAAGTCTTCTTGACCTTGTCTGTATGCCTAAATGCGCAGTTGCTGCCATGTGATTGGGTGATTACAATATTTGTGATAGCTAAAATAATGGGTGACTGTATAAAGGGCAAATATCATCTTTAATAGTTGAACTCTGCAAGCACTTAACATACTTTAATCATTAATGTGCTGGTTTACACCAGTTTATACAGACAGTGGTGGATATGTGGTGTTGGTGTCAGTACTGTAGAAGTATGTGGTACTATTTTAAGCATGTTGGAACCTTTTTAAAATGTAGCAGGAATTATATACAGTCATACGTATTCATACAGTCATGCTTATTTCTGTTACTTACTGGTTTTGAACACTTGTTCCAAAACTGAATGTCACTGCCTAATAGGCTCTGGGTCCATTGTGGGGTGCCAAAAAAGCTCTGATTGAGATTGACGTGAACTAGAAAAGACCTCTGGAAGTGTGTCATCTAGCAGTAATCCATTAGCAGCGCATGTGAAGCTGAGCTGCCGTGAATCAAGCTTTTTCCAGTACATTTGGACTGGTATGGTGATATAGCCGGTTCTGGTCAAAACGACATACCAGTCGGTCCTGTGTGCCTTTTTTTTTTTTTTTTTTTCTTTCTTTCTTTCCAGTGTTTTCGGTCCATTTTATTGTTCATTCTTTCTAGTAAAGGCGCGCTGCCAAAACGACAAGAAACAAACAAAAGGAGTCTGAAAATGAAGTTGTACATGCCACACTGCAGCCTATATTTTTCATTTTGTTGGACCTCCAGCTGTGTTTTTAATTGCACTCTTGTTAACTTTAACTTTTCCAAAAAAAAAAAAAAGTCATTAAGCAAAGAAACGCAAATAATTGACTTTTTTTTTTCTCTCCTCCCCTCTTTAGGAAGTGACTGGAAAGTCGTTTGGATGCAGTGACTTCCGTGCCGCATTAGAGAACGGAGTCCTGCTTTGCGAGTAAGTAATGATGCTCAAACTTTAAGTGTTTTGCAGTTTTACTTTGGTCAAACTTTTATCTGTAAGAATTAATTTGAAAGATAATTATCATGCAGACCTATCATTAGTGAGTGTATGCAGGCTAATTTGCCAGCTTGCCTTCAACAGCCTTGAAACATTTTTTAAAAACGGTAGCATCCAAAACTGCTGTCTGGAGGTTGCTGAGTATCTTTAAAAGTAAGCAAAGATAAACACCCATAAATTAACAAGTGCAGACGCACAAATCTGATGTTTGCTGGTAAACCCAGAAGTTGATTTTACGATGATGGCTTAAAAAAGAAAAAGTTGTGGTTCTTTATCTAAAATACCGTCTGCCAATGGAAGTCAAAATTAGGACTGTTTACCAGTTCTTATCTTTTGTGGCTGCAATATTTTGTAATCTGTTTGCTAATTGTCTTCACTCGCAGCCTAATTAATCAGTTGAAACCCGGAATAATCAAGAGGGTGAACAGGCTGTCTACTCCAATTGCTGGTCTGGTGAGTTTACACTTTATCTGTATGACGTGTGCATAATCAGAGTATGCAAGAAAACAAAAAAGACACCTGTTAGCCAGGAAGTGTTGAAACATTGTGTGGTTTCCTGTTGCAGGCACAAGGAGACAGTGTTGTTGTAGTCTGACTAAACATGAACGTGCATTTCAACCTACTGCAAAGTTTCAGCTTGTTTTTATTGGGTGCTGATGCAAATGAAGATTTTTATTTTGGCTTCAGGCTGTTTCTCAATAGCTTCATACAAGTATAATTGCCAAAACAGCCCAAAGCAAGACCAGGAAAAGATCAATTTCAGGCTCCCAACAGGGTCCAATAGATGGAGCCGAGCGGTGGATGCACTGGTGGTGATGGCGGGAGAGGGAGATGTAGCAGAGGTTCGGCTCTTACTTTCACAACCTAAAGAGCAATACTGGAGCTTTTGTTTGTTTTTAATCTGATAACTTCAAATTAAACAAATTAAAAATCAACATCGACACCTATCGAGAAACTCTTTGAACAGAATAAATATCCTCTGTCCGGCCTTTGAAGCTTTGGCATTATTTATAGTGAATTTTCAGTCTTTATTATATTTTGTTACTTGGGAGTTGGAATTGTTACATGCTAAAATGCACAATGGGGACAAAAACGTTGATCATTATTTTAAATAAATTATGCAGTTTGTTTGTTTATTTACCAAGGCTGTTAAATTATCCACTTCTGACTGTTTTAATAAAGACATGTTGTCTTTACTTTTTCTCATGTTTTCATATTTAGTTTGAGAAATGGTTGTAGTGATCTGTTGAAACGCGTGTAATCATACACAGAAACACGGTGTATATTAGGCAAAAACAGAGTCTGCACAATTCTAACATGCTTGAAAGATAATATTTGGTATGAGCACCTTTCTTCTTGAGCATAGCCTGAGTGCTTTTAGGCAAACTTTTATTTGACTGGTTGTCAGGACTAGCTATCCAGTCTTCTTGAAGTCTAGCAAAATTCTTTGCATGTTGGCTGCCTTTTTGTTCTGTTGTGTCAAGATGCTCTCAAACTGCTTCAGTAATGCTTTCTGTTTCCAGAAAGAGAGCTAACTTTACCTGAGTCGATTACTGTATATAAAGTCTGTGAACTTAACTTGGCAGCGAGCAGGTTTTCTTCAACAAACTGAGTTTCTCTCTGACTCCTAACCTCCTGCTGTACATGAACCTGCTGTGTGACACCCCAGTTCATTTCCTCATTTATAAAGTCACAAAGCTCAAAGTGGAGTAAGCCAATCTGCTGAAGTTTACGTTTTTACAAACACTGAGGCCCAGTTAGATGTTAGTGTCCTATTTTTGTGTTTAACATGGGCGCTTTTCATTCGTTAATGTGTAAGGATGGAGAATGTGATTACCTTGCATATTTATCAGCTCAGAATAAAATCTATATAATCCGCCTTTGTAGCTCCCACTCTGTGCCATCAGGCTGTCAGACAGTCACAACACAATGCAAACACTTACTATACGTTACACACTGATCAATGGTAAATCCTTTCTTGTATTATAAGTGGTCACACTCAAGCAGTCAAATGTCTCACATTTGGATCTTGGAGATGATTCGAGTATGAAATTCAGGTTGAAATTACTTTAAAATCTGAAAACAACTCTAAATGTATTTGTAGATGGTTTGTTCTGAACATTTCATCTTAAGATTCAGTCGTTAAGTTATGTCAAACACTTGAAAAAGGAACAAATTTAGAGTATTGGTCTCGATGTATGTTTCTCCCCTGAAATATCTTTAAATCAGTTGGTGGGTCAACCCAGAACCAAAGGGTTTATAGGGTCTTGCCTGCCAGGACGGATCCAGACTGGACCAGGCCTGAACTGAGATATTTATGTGTTTGCCTTTTCTGATCCTTTATATTTAAGATTTGGAAAACTGCAGTTTTCTGCCTCCTGCGTTTTGTCACTGTGAGATTATTACTGAATGATTAGAATTTAAAAATCAAGTGTAAAATTAGATTCCAGCTTCATTTGATGAAAATCCAATGAATGTGCATTTCTCAGACCCTGCTGTAGACAAACATTTTCAAATTGCCTTGTGGTGCAAGAAAGGTACAAGAACTGAACTGAAAATGAGTGGAAAGAAAACCTTTGAAAGACAGGAAAACAAGAACTTTACAAGTGACAAGAAAGTCCTGGAAGCAAAATGTAAAGAAATGAGTGGTTTCTCAATACTTTGAACCGTACTGAACTACTTCAGAAATGATAATGGTGACCTTTAGGAGTAGCTGTACTAACATTGACAGACGACTAGATAGGATATGTTAAGCTAATCTAAATAGATCTGTTTGCAGCTCTAGAGTTGTGCTTGGCTGTAATCCTGCCTGCTGTAGTGGTTGAACAGAGCAAGTATGATTTCTAAACCAATGGGTTACTTATTAGATAATATCTACTGAGTGTTTCTTGACAGATGAATAGATGATTAATGATGAATCAGAATTGATTGTAGGTTGTACTCCCAGCTGTTCTCACTTGGAGAATTGTTTGGATGAGGTGGATTTTAACTGTTTAAGGCTGGAGTTGGTCATTACTAGTTTATCAGAACAAACATCAACTGTTTCTCTAGTTTTTCATGCTTTTTTTCCCCATCTGTTCTGATATTTCAGGATAATGTGAATGTTTTCCTGAAAGCCTGCGAGAAACTGGGACTAAATGAATCCCAGCTGTTTCATCCAGGTGACCTGCAGGACATCTCTACTCGTGTGACACTCAGGTGAATGAACACATACCTCTGCAACTGGACCTTTAAGTCTAACTTTATTGCAATTGCACAGTGATACTTTGTACAATAGTACAGTGAAATTGTTGTACGGTCCCACATCGGTGCTATAAAGCAAGAAAATCAAAACAAATGGCATATACAGAGTAAAATAAATACAGTATGAGCAGAACCACTGTGTATTGGCAAAATACACGAGGGCCTAATGTTTTCCGCGTAGGTTATAGTTACCACTGACTGAGTTTTCAGTGTGTGTATTTAAAAAGATAAAAGTGAACGTGCTGCTTTGCATTCATAAATGTCTGCACTTTCACTAACAAGCTGCTCCTTTATATGAGCTGATGGCCTGTTCTCCATAAAACCTGATAAGTTGCTGATTAGTGAGGATTGCAAATGAGAAGGCTTAAGATGTCACTGTAACTTTTTTCCTTCACAGTTATCTCATTCACTGGGACTTTTCAGTGACGCAATCAAAATGTAAATTGTAGCAGCAGATGTTTGGCTCTTTTGTTTAAGTACTTATTTCTGTCTTGAAATTTTATTTTAGGCGTGACGAAGGCAACAGACGACTCAAAAATGTAAGTCGTTATTCTCTTGTTGGGGTGTCTTTTCCTTTCTGGGTAAATGAGTTGGGTATAAAGCCATAAAGGAAGCAGTGTCCATCAATATATTAGCTTGAACTACTGATGCTGAAGGCTGAAGTATGACAAATAAGGTGGCCTTGAGGAGGGGCTGCTGAGCTTGCTGAGGTTGAGGCAAATCCCAGGAGTCTGGTGTTAAAGCCTTCGTAGAGTTTAAAGAATGATGGAAATATAAGAATACATAAGTAGCAGAGGCCGTCTGGAAACTCCCATCTTAACTGCCTCAAGTCTGTGTGTGGAACTGAGTGATGCACATGGACGTGTGAAGCCTCATTTGAATTGCACAGTAGCTGTGAACTTTAACCCCGGACGGCGGGTTTTGTTTTTTCCTCCAGACTACAGTCACTGAACTGGGTGTAGCCTTCTTTTTATTTGTATTTTTTTTTTAGTTAATTATTCTTTTAAATGAACCACTTGGGGTGAATTTGGGCCAATTGGAACAGTTTACCAAAGCACTGCAGCACACCAGCATGAACTGTTGCACTCCATGTAATTAAAAATAAAAATGTTAATAAAATACAATACAAAATACACTTGGTCTTTTATATAATCCATCAGATCTTTTCTTTAAAGTTCTCATTTTGTTTTTGTGAATACATTCAAAAAATTGTATGACTTAAGAAAAATATTTAAATATTTAAATAATATTTATTTAGATGAGATTCAGGGTTTATGTACATCCGGGTAGTTTTTTTTATTTTTTTTTTTATTAATCCAACCTTCTGTTAATTTTCATCTACTTTCCCCTTTTTATAAGGACTTTTGAAAAGCCAAGAGTAATTATGGGTTTCTTGCTTTATTAAATAAAATGGAATCATGCATGGCTAATATAGGATTAACCTGTGATCTGTTGCAAGCAGTGAAGTAATTTCCTTGGCATGAGAGAGAACTGGAGAGAAAGAAACACATTTTATCCTAATTAAGTTTGACATAAGCCCCGAATGCTTGTTTACGCTCTGCTTGTACAAATTAGGGGAAAATAAAACTAATTGCAGCTATAATGGCGCCAACAGTCTAATATGGCAAACAGAAATGCTTACTTTTGAAAAAGGGATTATTATAGTGAGTCGTGGAACATCGTTTTCCTTGGAAAATCGAAGTAGCTTCGTTGGTGCACCTTGATACTGACACTGATGGCTGAAATTCAGAAAAGGAAAAATTGATTCTCACACATGGCAAAAAAAACTGAATGCACTTCAGAGGTGCATATTTCAATTCTTCATTTTCCTCTTCATCATCATCATCCTTTTTTTTTCCTCTCACTGCACTGCTTTAAAGAAATAAAGGCACATTCGATCATCACAGTTTTGAGCAAAGTCAGTTAAATTTCAGCTAGGAAGCATAAACTGTCGTCAAACAGGTTCAGGCAACAACAAGAGAACCAATTAACCGGGAGTGGTGTTACAGGTGGGGGCTGTAGACCACTGCTTGCTTCGTTTATCCCTCCTGACTGAGTTTCCTGTAGTTTAGCTCTCTGCTAGTGTCCTTGACATTACTGGTAACCCACGATGGACCTGCAGCTCATTCAGGCTGTGCTGTCACAAGAAGGTTTGCTGTTTTTCAACAGTGTGGAGGAGATCACAGGAGACGGGTGGTTTTTCACCAGGAGAGCTAGACGGGGCCATAGAAGGGCATCAATCCAAGTTGCTTTATGTGAGGAGGAAGAAATTGTTCTACTTGCATAAGCACAAAATGACAGCCAGCGGGCAGCTCATGAGCACGTTTCTGACCAAACTGTCAGAATTGGACTCCATCAGAATGACATGAGGACCTGAACTGGCAGTTCTTTCAGTGGCATCCCCTTTTACATTTGCTACAGCATCACCGGACTCTTCCACGTGGTTCAGAAGAGAGGGGTCGTAACAACACTTGGAAAGTTGTCTTGTTGGTGTTGTTGTATCTGTAGTACACCTGTTTTCACTTTCAAGTTTAACTGAAAGCGATGATCAGCTGTTCTCTTAATTTGTTTTGAGCAGTGTAGTGTCTTTTGGTCATATTTGTAATTCTGTCTATTCTTTCTCAGGTTCTGATAACAGTTTACTGGTTGGGTCGCAAGGCTCACCTGGACACATTGTACAATGGCCCTCAGCTTAATTTGAAGGCTTTTGAGGGCCTGTTGGGGCTGGCCTTGTCCAAGGTAATTTTTTATTTTTCTCTTTAAGTATTTAAAGATTGTATTACTTTATTTTTATACTTCTATTAACCCTTCCTACTCCAGGCTCTAGATGAGGGTGGTGTACCTGTGAAAGACAGCAGCGATAGTTTGTGCCAAAATCCAGAAGAGGAATGTCAGTACAAGAATTACTGGCGAGGCAACTCTGCAGACAGCATTGACTCCTTTAACTCCCGGGCCCTGCACCCAAATGTTGAAGGTACATTTGTGATACAATGACTGGGGTGTGAAGGAATCTGTGTTTGGTTTCTGCTAAATATTTTGACACTGCACTGCAATTTGTGGAAAGATTATGGAGATTATAGCTGATGGTGGCTTTTTTTTTTTTTTTTTTCCCCCCCCTTTAGTTTATTGCTGTCTTTTGTTTTTGAAATGTAACTCTGCTCATTGATTTTACACTAACTGCTTTTGAAACTTTTGCAAAAGTGAAACTTTTTTTTTTATCCTTGTAAGATCAGCCTGAAACTGCTGAAGTGACAGAAATGTACCCCAAAAATGTGTTTTCACAAACTTATAATGACACATTTTTGGGGGATTCCATGTTAATACTGTTAATCAACGTCATTTTGGTGGATCAACAAAGTTCTGACCTGCTGCTCTTTTATGCAAGTTTTTTTTTTTTTTTTTTGTCTGCAAGTGTTGATGTCAGGCTCAGTGCATGTCAGTGATGGATTCTGCACTCTGGTGTGATAACTGTGTGTGTGATGGGAGAGGTTAAATACTTGCCCTGATACTCCCTAAAGGCTTGACTGTGTGAAGGCTCAGTCATCCAGGAAAGGTTTCTTTCTGATGTGCAACCTTCCTTGTATTTTGATGAGGTTTAGTTCAGCTTTTGTTTTTCATACATGTTTTATTTTCCCCCATTTAAATGTATATTTTTGGGTTAATTTTCGTGTCTCTGTGATATCTAGGTTTTGGAGGCGACGCAGAAGCTGAGCAGGTATTCAAGATGGAAAACAAGCAGGTGACAGCTCATCAAAACAAAGGCTATGTCCCACCACTCAGACGAAAACAAGGACCAGAGGAGAATGGAAGTGGCTTCGCGAGTCCATTTACCAGGTGCTCCAGATGTTTCTGTGGCCAAACAAAAATTCCTCACACGCTGCTGCTACCTAACTTACCCGTAGGCGACCTTTCAAAAAATAGCTTTTATATTTCTAACTTCTTGCTTATTTTATGTGTGATTATGAAGACGAGTGCATAATGTAAATGATTAAAACAATAACATACTGCTGTCTTTATATGAAGCTGGAGTTCCTTAAATATGAGCCCGAGTTTAGTCAGTGGAATACAGTCGGGTTGTTTTTCTTTCAGGCTCGGTTTGGATTAAATTTCACACTTGTCAGAACTGTTAAAGGCTGCTTGGTTTCCGACAGTTTGGAGTTTCTAATTTGCAGCTGAGTGCTTTTTCCTTCACACTAAACCCTAATCCAAATCAATTAACAATATGAACAATGTCTGCATCCATTCATGGGCACAGCCATCACAAGTAGTCACTTTGGTATGACACAAACAAGATGGTTATTGTTTTCAAGCTACTTAAGCTGTTCTTTGCCTGCTAGACTTGTTTAAAACGTCACTGTCAAGACTAATTTCCTATTTATTTATTTTTTTAAGTGTCTGTTACAACTTAAATTAGTTATTAGCTGTCAGTGCGCCCCAGGGTGGCTGTGGCTACAATGTAGCTTGCCATCACCAGTGTGTGAATGGGTGGATGACTGGATATGTAAAGCGCTTTGGGGTCCGTAGGGACTAGTAAAGCGCTATATAAATACAGGCCATTTACCATTTAAATTATTCTTCTAAGGATTATTTTTGAGCTTGGATATTGTCACTTTTTTTATCTCGTGTGAGATGAGCACCAGACTTGGTAACACGTCACCGCAAAGGGTCAGTTTGGCAAGTGAACCTCTGCGTTCTCATGATAGCAGTTCCCAAACTATCAACACGGATCATTTGCTATAAATTCTGATCTGATTTTTCTATGAGAAAATTACATTTTGCAGTCTTTGACAAGAGTGTTGGTTTAAATCATTGATGTGCAGTGACTTTTACAGAAGGGCAAGCAGAGATGATGTCATACATGTTAATCTGAAAGTGCTGGTGGAGCCAGCACCTGTTCAGTTTGCCTGTTTTATTAAATCAGACATGGCAGGAGCCATGTTCCCTCTCCATTAGCATTGCATTGCTTGCTAAAGAAGTGATTAAAATGATCTTTTATTGGATCAGTCGGAGCCAATAAAAGTCGGATCCCCTGAAACTCTCTTACTCTTATTAGTAAGAGAGAATTTATCACAAGTGCTTGTTTACTTGCTAATGCTAGCTGTTTCCACACAACAGGCAAATGGTAGCTGATCTCAAAAGCAACGAAAGCAGAGCCGCAGGCAGCTTGTCCTCAATTTGCAAAAAACAAGAAAAAGCTGCTTGTTTCCCTGCTCAGTCCACTGTTAACAGGACACAGACGCACCCATAGACTAAAGACATGTTATAGATTTCATGGAAATTGGAGGCGAGTGGAGTTGAGCCCCCTCCAGATACTTTAGCCAACTGTGGCGACAAGATGGCAGTAATATAAAGATGGAAGCAACTGGATGAAAGGTTTTGACAGAGTGCTGCTTGAGGTAAAATGAGATTGCTTTCACTTGGTTTTAACTGATGCGTGTCGTTTTTGTTAGACCGTTTGCTTTGCTTGCCCTGATGGAACCTCTGTGCTTGAAACTATGTTCTTGTGCTCCTAATTCATAGACTTGCCCTCTGTATTCTGCATTTGAAAGGCTCAGTTGTAGCGCTTGGGTTATCACCATGTTGGCTATTAAAAGCCATGGTTGTCTATGAAGCGTATAGTTTATGGATGTTTTATACATGCATCACACAGCCTCTGCTAATAGGTACGAAGTAACTGACAAAAGTTTGCTTTATAGCATCCACTCTTTGAGAGGTTTTGCAACTCAGTTTTGAGGAGTGAAATTCTCCAAAATGGTTGACTTGTTTTTAATAAGACATCCACAGTACAGTTGTCACAAAGGGAGACATCCTCTATAAAGGCCTACTCTGTTTATTAAGGCTGTCTTTTTTAAAAAAAAAAAAAAAAATGTTTTAATACTTTGTATCTTATTTTATTTAACATAAGCAATACCCTAAAATAAGCTAATAGGCCTCTCTGGCTTTTTATTAGCACTGTTATTGTGGCATATTTAAGTTTAGGGTTTAAAATCTCACAATCTAACTACAGCACATGTGCTCACAGTTTGCCAGACACCAAAAGTTTGAATGCTTCAAAAAAGAATCACTAAAGCTAATGAAGATTTGAATGGCTACATGAAGCTGAAGATCAGGAATTTTTCATAGCGAGCAAATGGTTTAGTTTTAGTTCAGGTTTGTCTCCATTTATGTCCATAGTGATAGCAGAGCCATACGTTTTAGTTTTCCAGAAATCTCACAGTGAGAACACAGGATATCATCTTTACATGGAAACTAGGAAGCTAACTTCAAATGCCATTAAATGTCATGAATCCACACTGATACTTGCATTGAAACTGAGCGAATTTAGGACATCTTTAAGTCTCAGTGGTGCTGCAGTGTTTGAGCTTAGGAACCAAAGAAGCGAAATCACTAATGACGTCAGACTTGAGAGGTCGATGGGCACGGACCTCTCTTTGGAGTCGGGCTCATGCGGCCACTCTAGGAACTGTCGTTTTAAACATTATTTTTGACTCCACAGGTTGTTGCTTGTGCCAGGCCTTTTTTTTTTTCCCCTGAAACTAAATATGGATGCAAATGCTCTGCTTTACTACTATTTACTCGGCCACAATAAAAAGCATCTTCACTACATGAACAATGAAAGTAATTTTGTAAATCTAACAATATCCTCAAGAACTAAAGAGTGATTTGCTTTTAGGCATTAATCAAATGTCTGCTTGGTAACATTTGGAGCCGCTTCCATTCCAGCTCATTCCAGCTGATTTATCTATGATCACTATTGGCTGTGGCTAAACGTAGATTTGGATATATCACTGTTTACTGCAGCACTGCAGATGCCCCTCCGTCTCCTCAATGCCACTTCACTATCTGTTCTCCTGAGTGTGCCACTGAAGAGCTTTTCCTGCAAGCTCTGTGTGAGGAAGACTCGGAGGATGATTATACTGAGGCAGACCCAGTGCTAGACGACTTGCATTTCAGACGAATGCAGCAGACACTTCATCAGACATCTGCCAATCTGCATTATGACCGCTTCTTACCCCAATATTGGACGCCTGAAGAGGAGGTTCGTGTACGCAGGATCTACCTTGGCTCCCAAAGACGTCCCTGGTATCATAAAATGCAGCGCCTGAGGTCTGTCTCTTTTTATCATTCAAAGCAGTGTTAACAAAGAAATATGCTTAAAACTAATACAAAACAATGGTAAAATTGCAGTATTGTACTACTTAAAGCTGGAAATAATTCATGGATTGCTTTGCAAAGCAGAAATAAAATAATGGCTGCCTTTACTGGCTTGAGCTTAGTTTTTACTTACATTAAACTCTAACATGAAGATGTGATGCTAAAATAACCAAAAGTGTGACGCAGCAGTGGATTTATATGCCAGCTGTAGCAAACTAAATATTAGTTTGCTAAGCACAAGGAATTAGCTAGCAGTAGTTTGCAAGAATAATAATGTAATTTAAAGCTGATCTAGGATCTTGCAGTGTGTATATATTTTTTATCCTGTTTTTAATCCTTCATTGTAAGACCTGTGTCTATAAGGTCTGCTGCTAATTGTGTTGCACACACTTTATATATTTGCTGTTCTTTTCTTTGACTGTAGCCGTAAAGCCTTGGCTTTTGCAGAAGAGTTTGACGTTGACTTCGTATCTGGAGAGCCCCACAAGCCTGAACACAAGCCTGAACTTTTGCAGCTGTCCTGAAGATCCGTACATAACAAGCACACGATCATAACAATCCTAACCACAAACTGCTCTCGTTGTGGATTGAAGCCTTTCCACACATTTACAAATATCCAGCTAATGAGAAGATGTTAAAACATGCACAGTTTTCTCATTTATTGTATGAAATTATCAAGATCATTGTTTTTTGTTTTTTTTTAAAAACCAGCCAAATGTTTTATCTGCCCTGCCACATTGCTGAGTGATGCATTTGTTAGTTTGTTCACATTCTTTATAACATGAGCTGTGCCTTCAATATTTTTTTTCAGTTTACTGTGTGAATGTCATTGCTTTTGAAAAATAAAGTATGATGCCACAGGTCAAGAAACTGCGTGGAGTATTTTATATGCAATACAAAAAATGTTGTGTGTGTGTGTGTGTGAGATGGGTTTGAGTGGCTGTGGTCTTGAAGCCATGTGTATTACAAAAACATGGTCTCATTCATACAGCACCTCTTTTGTTGTGTTTTGTGGTCTAACCTCTTATCCTGACCACTTTTTTTTTATTAATTTATATTATGCAGCATGTTGCTGGATGCTTTATCAAACCAGGTCCACTACATGTAGGCACACGATGTTCATCAGTCTTCATGTCTGTTTCTCTGGTTCTTTAGAGCCAGTCAAACCCAGGTCAAGCCTGAGAGACCAGTTCAGGTCAATCCTGGCTGGATTTGGTAAGTTCCAAAGTTTTAAACATAAATTCGTAGCAAAAATGTGAGGCCGCTTTGACGTGACTGCTTTATTGCTGCTTCATCCAGGTATGCTTTTGTTTGCATTCAGTTTGTAAAGAACCAAAATAATGCCACCACAATAGTTTCCCTTTTCATGAAGGTGGAGCATGTGGTGCACATCACCTCTATTAATTTTCTGGGCACAGGCTTGACAGTGGAATTTATGACAGGACTGTTTGTAATCAGTCTTGGTTCTTCCCATCAGATTATGTCATTGTTTTGATAGACCACCTTCTAAATACTGCTGTAAGTTATTTGAATGTCATGTATGACATCCTCTGTTGCCCAGAGCAGTGTTATTACCTGCTATGAGTCATGACTGTTGTGTTATCCAGACAGCAACATCTGTTACATTTTTTTTTCCAATACTTTTGCATTACTGGACTGGCATGCTACATTTGTGCTCGCACTTCGCTGAGGATTCTGTCATTTCATTGCAGAATGTGCTGCTACAGCTGGCAGAACTGCACCCTGTTGTGTATACATGTGTAAGCATGTGCAGTGTGTGTGTGTGTGTGTATGCATGCAAGCAATGTGGCTGTTATCATGCATACCCTGCTACATGGTGCTCAGAAGTGTCACTTTCATGCAATATGAAGCTGCAGTGTAATCATATAATGTCATCCATCATTGTTTAAGTGCCTTTCCTCCCGTGTGTCTGAACCAGGAGCAAATCTCTCAGTGACATCCCGATGGTGTACCCTGTGCGAAAGGCTCCTGATGCAAACACTACTCATGATGAAAGTCAGGACACCGGATTGACGAGACTGTGGAATCAAGACAACAGAAGGAAGTGTAGCGTTGCTGCCAAGGATGCCGAAGCTCAGTGGCAGGATGTAAGTTGATGCATAAATGCTGACAGCAATATTTTTCACGGTCCGTTTGGTGTTTTGAAGCTTTTGAGCATTTTTGTCATCAGATGGTAATCGTAGATCTTCACATTTTGCTTTTTCTGCACATTTAAATAACTCCTCTTTCGTATTCTTATAAGTTGAAATTTAAAGCTTATTTTTGACATTTCATATTACAAATTCAAGATTCGCTAAATTAGACACTTGTTGTAAGAGAATGGCAAATGGAGTAAGAATATTGACAGCAGCTCCTGAGTTGGGAAGGTCCTCGGGTACTAAGGAGAAACCTGAGAGCTAAGAAGGGTGGGACATGACATTAATAGAATAAATAAATAAACAGCCTGTAGAGCAGTAATAGAATAAAAAATCAACTTTATTTTCATTGCACACGTCACAAGTGCAAGGCAACAAAATGCAGTTTGCATCCATCTAGAAAGTGGTTTTAGCAATAATATGGTGGTCTTGCTCCTGAAATTTGGATAAATCATCTCTTAAAAAGTGGAAAAATAGTTGAATGTTTAGAGATCAAAAAACTCAGTGTGTTAAGAGCATATCTGAATATACTCATGCTGGTTAATAGTAGTTTACAAATACAGTAACTAAGTCAAGAATGCAGATGTGGTCTAAATTGAAGTGGCTTTTTGGGGGGGGTAATTTTTGATAAGCATACAGGCAGTGGTGTAGTTTGTTGATGTTGTGTATTTCTTTCAGGACTTGAAAAAGTGGAAGACCCGTCGTAGGAGCTCAAAGTCTGAACTTCGAACTAAATCACAAGACAGAGAGCATGTAATGGATAAGATGATCAATGGGTCTGTGACAACTATTGAGAAGAATGAAGCAAAACTAAAGTATGTTTGTGCTACAGTTGTTTTTAAAAAGAATAAATTCTTAAATATTTTTAAACCATGCCTAATGTATGAAAACAGCTATTTGCAGTGGCATGAAAGAATGTTTTTAACTCTTTATTCATTTATCTTTGGCTTATTTGTTTCAGATCATCGATCAGATAATAATATTAGACAAAGATGACCTGAATAAATACAAATTTAATTTATTAAGGGCAGAAAGCTATCATAACAAAGCTGGCCCTGTGTGGAAAAAGTAAATCATGAATTGTGATTAATCGCATTTATTTCAGAAAGCAGATTTCAGTTTCACTGAACTGGGCTGTTGCTGCTTCAGCACATGGATGACTTGCTGTAATTGATAGAACCATGAATTCTGCTCTCAACCAGAAGATCCTGAAGCAGGATGTCCGGCCATCAGAACTCAAAACCACTTGGGTCACAGCAGGACAGTGATCCAGACACACCAGCAAGTCCACCTCTGAATGGCTCAAAAAACCAAAACAAACCATGAAGCTTTAGGAGTGGCCTAGTCAAAGTTCATTCTTAAATAATAAACAGGACAAAAATCCTTCAGTGTGACTGAATGAAACTTAAGATGAGTGGGCAGCAATGTGAAGGACCCTTTGCCAGTTATCACAAACACTTTATTGCAGTTCTTGCTGTCAAGGGTGGAACAACCAGTTAATAGATTTCATTTTATTCACACTCTGCTTATATTTGTCTTATATTAATATTTGTTTGATATGAAACATTTCACATATGCAAGAAATGTAAGAAATCAAGAGGTCAAATACTGTTTCACAGCACTGTACCTTTTTTTTTATAACTCGTGAGTTGTGATGCCTGTCCTTCCTCCATGTTTTCTGCTACCTGTAATCCTTCGGTTACTCTTCCCCTGCATATTAATACCCCAGATACCAGCAGTCACCTTGGACCAGGAACACAGCGCCTCGTCCTTACTCAACAACTTCTCCATCAAAATCAAGCTCTGATCTCCGGCCACATACTCGAGCTCTGCTGGCCCGCAGCTATGCCACCGAGGCACCTTTCAGCCCCAAGGTTCCTCTTAGCTCCCAGAGCTCAACCCACGCTCAAGTAGGTTTACACTACTGTTGAGTTTTAACTCCCTGATGTTAATGAGCACCACACACTGTTTTAATAATGGGATTAAAAATGCTTATGATTTTAAATCATTTCTTGAGTACAGCTGAGTTGTGAAAAGTGTTATAACCTATAAGGTGTTTTTATTATTTTGCCAGATGGCATAACTGTACTCATTGTTGGCCCTTTCCTCTCAGGGTGGAGCAGTGGTTGTCCCTGATGGAAAAGTCTTGGGAGAGGAGATCCACTCTGCCTCCACGGCTTTAGATGAAGCAAGAGTTGGCATGCCTTCTCTAGGTTTTCCTGTGATCTCTCAAACCCAAGTGAAATCCCAGAGCAGCACAGCTCCTTTCCAGTCCACCTGTGAACTTTCCCAGCCACAAAATGGCCTTACAAAACAAATCTCCACTCATTTTACAGCGTTACAGCTGAACGAGACCGCAAATTCTAAAAGCAACAAAAGTCCCACTTTATCCATGTCTAGTGAACGGAAAGCATTTTTTTATGTTGATCCGGAGCTTAAAACTGCTGATGAGGATTTATCGCATCAGAACGACAACTCTCAGGAAGACGGACAGAAGTCCACTTGGGAAGCAGCAGCAGAGCAAAGCACGGCCCCACAGACTCAAGGCGTCTACAAGTTCTTGCCCAGAACTGTTTCCTGGTCTGGCTCAGCCAGCCTTCCCCGTGGTTACCGTCGGTCTGAGGGCTCATCCCGTCTCTCTTCTGCTATCACAGCCAGACCCTTTGGGACCAAGCAGTCCAGAGTGTCATCACTGCCCAGAATGTACAATGTGAGTTCACTGGTTGGTGCGGCTGTGGCCCTGTTGCTCTTTAAAAAGATTAGTTTTATCAAACCGTATCCATTTAACTGCATTAATCCAGCCTAACACCCATCTTCTTCCTCAGCTGACTCAGTTTAAATATTAACAATGTCACTGTCAAACCTGCAATTCATTCAGGTTTTTGATCAAGCTTAAAAAACATGTTTGGGCAATTATAAGAGCTGAAAATGCTGATGGTGATGAACATGGATGCCAGGAAACCTTGGGTCTAAATCCAAACTTTAAAAAAAAAGTAGTGTTATTTAATTTTTTGCTTAACAGAAAAACCTGTCGTTCTGACATTATTTTACAGTCACCGTTATTTTTCTGGCTAAATGGCATTTTAGTGTCCGAGGTGGTGTACAGGGATTTGTTAAGACAGCCTAATAAGCTTAAGTAAGTTGGTGTGTGTGTGTGTGTGTGTGTGCACACTGTGTGAGCTAACTTGTTACCTTTTGTTTTGATTTCCTTCCTCATTAATAAAAGAAGTGCTGCTGCACTGCGGAGTTCATTCCAAGATTACACATTTCTCACGAATCTGCTGGTTTTACACATTTTTAAGGCCCTACTTTAACATTTCAGCGCTGCAGATTCTGAGCACATCTTGTTTTTCTCCATCTCCAGGTAGATGACAATCAGGGTGTGCTGTTGAACAGTGAGAGAGAGGATTCTCCATCTTCACCATCTCTGAAAAGACAGACTGCGACCGCCCAGCTGAGCGGTCAGTATCAGACCAACCAGGGGACGCAGACTGGTGCAGGACAGGAAGAGCAAGTGACTAGCTCCAATCGTTCCAGCCAGACCTCCTTTCAGAGCAGTGGCTATTACTATCGACCCTCCATTCAAAGCCAGATACTGCCTCAACCTTATTCAAATCTGCAGTCTCGTCAAAATAGAGGCTTGACCTTCTCAGCTGATGGAAGCACAGATCTTCCAAAGGTATGCTGGAGTATTTTTGAACTTGTAAGATTTTCAACAGTTTAAGAAGCTGTGTCAAATCAAATCAATGGCATTTATGTGATTACCCACTGCTCCATAGAAAACATTAATGAAACAAACTCCTGTAAAAATTTGCTGCCCTATGGCCAAATCTCACTTGGAAATGAGATTTAAATCTCAATTAAACTTTTCACCTGGATAAATAAAGGATGAGAAGGATGATAATGTAAAATCAGATTTAAACTGGCTGGATCTGCACCAGTTCTAGAGCCGCTGCCCTTTTTCACTCCCTCAAAGTCACTTTCTGACCCCCTGCAGTTATTCTGTAGTTACACTATGAACCCCAGACTTGTGCAGAGAGCAGACATCAACTTCTGTATCGAATGTACTTGACTTTCATGAACCTGGGCTACAGTGAACACTAACAGCAGTTTTCAGTGGAAAAATCCAGTTTCCACTCTCAAAGTGCATTAGTTCAGGGGCCTGACCAGCTGCATGTGTGCGGCTCTTTTGTTTCTTTGGTTTTCTTTTTGTTGATGTTGTTTTGTTTTTATCACTGGCCCAGAGCTAGAGCATTGACAGTCTGCTCCTGGGGGTTTCCTCAATCTTTGTCCAAGTTGGAAGGTCAACATTTTACACTAGACAAGATCGACCCAGAGTTGGTATAAAACATAAATGGAGCTTCTGGGTTGGAAAAATGAAGCCAATGCAGAAACATCTTAAACCTGCATTACATGTGAAAGCCACCAGGTGGCAAAAGCTGTGGTTGCAGAAAGACTTTTGGTCCTATAGATGTCTGGGAAAGCAGCTTTCTGTCTTTACCTCTGTAAACAGTTTCCTGCTGAGTTTTTGACCCAAAATTAGTTTGACTTATTTTGGGTCGTATTGGGAGGGAAAAAAATGTTTAAAAAATTGAGAATTATCTGTGGTATGATTATTGGCTAATGACTTGTTTGACAGGTTGCACACGTTCACTTTCCTCTTTGCATCTATCCAAAAAACAACGGTGAGAGTGCTCATCCCAAGGCTTTAAAATGGGGAAATGGGGCTTGATGGATGTAGGGAACAGCCATGATGGCTACACTCGTCTTTTATATCATGAAATTAGACACTTGGAGAGGGATCGTAAGGTGTAATGAATGATTGTTCTCATTAAATAAGCTCAGCGACGACCAGAAAATTAACATTTTGGAATATTGGGAAAAGTTTATTTTCAGACATTGTGACTTGTAGACTGGTGTCATTTATATCATTAGATAAGGTTAAATGGGTGTTTGATGAAATGGTGTTGTCATGACAACTTCTAGGGTTCCCCCTTACTTTTTTTTTTTTTTTTAATTACCATTCACTACAGTGTTTCAAACTTAAAGCAGCGTTAATATGGCATTTCTGACAGTAACTGTTCATTCAGTGTATCCCTTCCTTACTATATTTGTGTAGCGGGCCACTCAAGTCTCTAATTTCCACTAGGAAGCATTCGACATTGGATCACACGGTGTCACCTTTACACATACGTGTGTGTGTGTGTGTGTGTTTTTCCAGGTGGATCACAGTGACATGAGAGTGAGCCTTACTCTTAAACCCAACAGTCTAGCTGACTTTGGTTTCCATACTCACTGGGACTTGACGGGGGCGAGAGTTAAGCTCATTCAGCCCGGTAAGACTCTTGTTAAATGTAACTCTGCAGTGCTGAAGTTTTGTCACAAGAACAGAACATTACATTTAGCATCTTTGTGTGAGACAGGAACAAGTCGGTGACAGATGTTTTCTTTTTTGCTTTTTATAGAGGAAATTTGCTCTCACAGGTTAGCGCTTAGAGAATAAAACGGTAACAGATGACACTGACAGTTCAGGTCACAGACTAAAAAGGCATCAAATTTGTTAGTGGGTCGATTTTTGTTGTGAGGGAAATTGTATGCAGCAGAAGGGGAAGAGTGCAGAATTTCAAAGCTATTTTTTTATTCTGGTGGAGGGGGAGAGATGTCAAAACGGCTACATTTTGATTATGTTTTCTGAACATGGTAATTATGTATACGGTTACTTGTAGGGAAGAGAAACTTTAACCTAGGAGTTTTACAATATTTGAGGGCTTCTCAGCATCAAACTACCAAATGTAGCCAGTGATTTAAAACGCAACCATGAATAATGAATTGGACATGAGAGAGGTGTCACTTACTCGCTGCTTAGTGGCCCACTTTCAGATAGGAACAGCTCCTACTGTGTTTCTCACTTCATGCTAAGCAAATAATTTCTGAATTGGCACTTTCTTTTTTTCATTTTATGCCGTACTCGTTTTCATCTTTCTTCATTTCTTCCCTCAGGCAGTCCAGCCGAGCTCTGCCAGCTGCGTGTCGACGACGAGATCGTGGCCGTCAATGGAGCTGCGGTGGCACACATGAACTACGACCAGTGGAAGGATAAAATGGCATCTGCCCTGCAAACCGGCAGTTTGACCATGGACATTCGGCGCTATGGCAACAAGGGTAGGATAATGAGTAAAAGCGGCTCTGTTTTACCACTTCCTGAAATTATTAGCGTGGTCTTAGAGTTGATGGCTAGTTGTTTTTAATTAGATTGGAGCACTGGCGAGGGGACTCATCACAGCCAGCCAGGCCAGAGCAGGGTGACCCTCAATCTGACTGCTGCTTCTTCGCCTGTCCTGATAGGGTGCCCTGATCACCATGCCAACAGTGCTGCCTTTCCAGACACACAAGTCACACAAGGGTTCAAAAGCAATGGGCACACAGACAACGTGAGCACTATTTTAGCAGCTATCACAGCAATTTAGAAAAAAAAATGATCAAAGCTCTTCTTATAGTTTATGGTGTCTTTTTTTCACCTGCATAGGTGATGCAGGGTAAAGTCATGGGTGGAGAACTTTGTGAGACACATAGGACAGCCAGAAATAAAGGTAACACCGAGCATAAAGTGTGTAATTGCAGTGATATTTTAAAAAAAACACTTCCTCTAAAAATAACTCGGGTGTAATATGTGTAATTTCTCACTTTGTCCACCCTTCCTCTTCATGTAGATTGTAGTACTATTATTAGAAAAAATCAGAAAAGGAGGGCAGAATTTTTCAGGCAGCAAGGTAAAATGGCAGTTTGAACTTCATGTGAAGCGGCTTCGGTGGCTGGTGCTTGGCTTGGTTTGAGTTGTCATTAGAATTAAATACGCATTTTTAGTATGCTTGTTTTTTTTAAAGAATATTTAGGAGATGTTAATTATAAGGAATCAAAAGATGCATGGTGATTAGCTGATTGCCTTTTACTAGATAACCACTGTGATAACATCAGTCTATTATACTTTATAGCAGTGCTTTAATCAGAGCAGCGTAACCACAAATTACACCAAAGTAAATCAGCTATTAAAGGATTTCTATAAATTGCTGTTTGTTGTACAGTTTGTTCATGAAAAATCGCAGAAGAACTGAGGGCAGGGGCGCAGACTGTACTGCTTTTCACAGTGCTTTGCCAATTTTAACCAAACAACCACAGAGATACGGCACTGATCATGTCCAAAATATAGAGACCACAATAAATATAAGCCTATATTAAGATGATCTCCTCTCATTTCTCAGTTTTTGCATTGATTTCCTCTTTTCCTCTTAGTTCCTATCAGGTGCAGGAAGGGGTCAGGAATTTGAGGCATTTAACAAAATGACAATGATGCAGCTTTGCAGCCATCATCTTGAAGTCATTGCAGATGAATAGTTATGTAAAAGGTTTTCCAGGACCGCAAAAAGTCCTGTGGAAAGCCCCATGATTCAGTAGCTTATAGAATCATCTTAAGCAGCAAAAACTTGACTTCATCGTTTTGGGGATGATATTGGTCTCTCAAATCATTGTGGATGAACATTGGTTCAGTTCACTGTGTGGTTCAGTGTGAAGGCATTTGTTTATGCAGAGGTCCCTCAAGGTCTGACCACAGTATCTCAATCAAGTTAAGATCTGGACTTTGACCGGGCCTTTGCAACACTTCTTTGGCCGTGGTCTCATATTTGACTCTAGAAGAGTTTAGTGAACTCGTTGACTGCGAGGTGCTCAGCTTCCGTGGCTGAAAAACAAGACCAACACGCCATCCTTCTGTGCTGATGTGCTTGTGTGTTTTCACGCGTTTGGTTTTTACCAAATGTTACACTGTGCATTGTTGCCAGACATCTCCACTTTGGTCTTGTCTGTCCAAAAGACATTGTTCCACAAATCGTGCGCTTTGTTCAGATGCAGCTTTGCAAACCTTTGGAAGCTGTGCTGCTGTGTTCTTAGAGAGGTGAGCCTTTCTCCTGGCAGCTCCTGTAGAGTCTTTGTGCATTTTCTTGGAGCATTGCACGGTCTGACCTTGGGGTGAATTCACTGGGACGTTCACTTCTGGGAAAATGATGGCATTGTGTTAGCACACTTCAGTGCTCCACACCTGCAAACTGCCAAAACTTCTGCTTCTGTAAAGGTGCTCACACGTGCTGGTGATCCGTCAACCAAGTGCAGTTGATCACCAACATCTGCTGCTGCAGCTGACCTTTACCTAGTTTTTTTTTATAGGTCTGTATGTAGTCCTAAAATTTTTTTTTTTTTTTTTAACTTTTTTTTAACCCCCCTTCATATAACTATGTGATGTCTGTTTTGTTTAAGCTTATCATTATATTTTATGGCAGCTTCTATACTTTAATCATATACCAAAGGTACATCATGATGGTTCTTTTAAATATATCAAGAGTACTTCCTCACTCATATGTCCCTTCAGCAACCTGCCTCTCTCCTGGCTCCTCTCTCCTTGAGATGCATTTTGGAAATTAAGGCATCCCTAAATAATGACACACTGGAATTGATTTCCAGGTTACAGACAGGAGGCGGGAGGAGATAAGGAGGCACAAAACAGAGAAATGAGAAGAGCCCACTGTGTGCAACGGTTCTTTATGTTGTTTTCATTGTTTGATCATTAACTTTCTGGCACGAAGACTGATATCCTCTGCTGTCCTTTGTGGTTGTTGATGATTCTGTGTGTCCTACGATGGCTTTTCTCTTCAGGCTGTGCAGGATTCAGCTCGTGGGTGTACTTATGTGGTAAATATTTGCACTGTGTGTAGCTGCTGTTGCGATGCTGAAATCTAAAGACCCACTGTGTGTCATGCTGCGTCATCAAGCAAACACAGCAAATTTGTGCTTGCTTTACCGCACACTGTGATACCTTTCTTGCATTTACAAGTTCTTGAGGCTTTGTTCTGCAGCTTCTTTTTCAGAATTTGCAGTGCAGCATCTTTAGTTGGGGATACATTAGCAGAATAGTGTGCTGAATTTTGATAAACTGTGGGCATGTTGGCCCTGATCATTGGAGAGTGATGATCCTGAATGAGTGGTGAGAAATGTTTAACTCAGTCCTACTGGTAAGTCTTCAGTGACCAGTTTGGGTCTTTTTTTTTATTTTATTTTTTTATAGCTTTTCTGGGATTGGCCAGATGAAGGCCTCTAGCAGAGCTTTCCTGACTGAAGCAGGAACAAAATCAAATATCCGCTACATTTTTCTCCAGTCTTCCTTAATCTTCTAATGTGTCCCCAATAATTGCGTCTGTTTAGACCTGCATGATGCTACTCTACTCTAGGAAAAAACAAAACACTACACAGGTCCTAAACTATTATTTTCTCTCACAGGAGGGTCAGAATCTGCGATATCTGATGTAAGTTTCTGTGCACAGTCAGAAATATGTCACCTGCGTGTGTTTAAAGAGTTGATGTACTGCAGTGTGATCACGTCTGAACTTAGTCTGTCTGTGCATCACCAGCTCCAGGTGCCATCGCTCAGCCCCCCCTCATCCAGCTGGTCTTGGGACCTTGAGGAGGATCGCAGGCGACAGGAGAAGTGGCAGGAAGAACAGGAGCGCCTCCTACAGGTGAAGCCTCTTTCAAACAGAACTAAGGAGCATATGCTTGAAGTTTAGTGCAATTTTATTAAAGTGCTCTGGTGTTTTTGGATTTGCTTTTAGGAGAAATATCAGCGGGACCAGGAGAGGCTGGAGGCAGAGTGGCGGAGAGACCAACAGGATGTAATAGACCCCAAGAAGTCAGGGGTAATGTCGCTTTCATTTTACAGCAGTTTTTATAATCATTTTTTCCCTAATAAGGCACCAAAGAAGGGAAGTTTTTTTTTTTTTAAAGATTCTAATGTATGACATTTTACTACATTTTGAGATTATACTGGTTACACTATAATGTTGCATTTTCAGTCAGCAGCTCTGACACTGACACCGCACTGAATTATTTTGCTCACTTTTATCAGTGTGTTATGTTGTTTTTCTTTTTCCTAAATATTCTACATGTACAATATTCATGTTTCAGAGCCAGAAAACCTTTGAGGTGACCCCTGGTGATGTGGGCCTCACCAGGACCCAGCAGCAAGAGAATGCAATGCCGAAGAAAACCAGAGAAGAAGAGCAGAGCACTGATGGAGAAAAGCTGAAAGAGTTGTTGGGGCCAAAACGGCAAAGTAATGCACACGAAGTGCAGAATGAGATGGTTGCTCAACAAGACTGGTAAATAAAGCTTTGCTTCTTTCTTAATGCTGCTCTTATCCATGTGGTACAAAGAGCATGTTTATTACAAAGAGTCTCATCTGCAAAAAGTTCTAAAGCATTTTTTAATCATCATTACTGCTGTTTCTGCTGTGCCTCCTGTTGCTTTTGCTGGGCCTTATTTCTGCTAATGCTGTACCTAAGGGCTGATGGCTCATGTGGCTTTGCTCAGCTGTCCCCTGCACACAGGTCAGATCAAGCCTGGTCCAATTTCCACTGTATTTGTAGTTTTAGTCACGCACGTCCAGGTTTTGCACACCACTTCAGTGATTTTTGTAAATTAAGCTATTATAAAGGTAGATAATTGTTTGTTTTTTTCTTTTAGAAAAAAACACTTTTAAAAAATGCTTGATTTATGACTCAAAGCACAATTTCTTAAAATAAATAAAAGAAAATCACATCAACATATTGTGGACTTGAATTAAAAATTGCTCTCAAGGTTGAATAATGCAGACTTTATTGTTCCCATAGGACAAAGTCCTTGTCTTCCCCAGTATTAGCTGGGCCTCACAAGTATTCTAGAGGTGAGTTTAGCTCTTTCTCTTATATTATCCATTTCTGTGTTGGAGATGTACTTCTCTAACCCTTTCAATGTGCTTTTGTTCAGGGGATCAGAGTAAAAGAAAAGGACTGTCTGTGTCCAAGGCTGAGAAAGAAAGGCAGCAGATTTTAGAGGAGATGAAGAAAAGGACTCAGCTTCTGACTGACAACAGCTGGATACGTCAGCGCAGCAGCAGCTTTTACAAGGATCCCATGATTGTTGGGCTTCCTCTGAAAAGGTGAGATCTCAGCCAAGCTGCATTTAAGATTGGACTCATTGCCCAATGGCCTGTTTTTCAGTCTGTGTGTTTTCAATTGTTCTTCTACTACTGTGATTTCTTACATGCAGATATGACTCTCTGGATAATCTTGATAATTTGCGTCAGCCCCAATCCTCAATCTATAGTTACCCTCGACCACACTCGGCTGCTGCAGGTTACGTTACACCGAGTAGGAATGCCTCTTCGCGATACAGCACTGGATCAGTATTATCCATGAGAAATCCTTACATACAGTCCTGTCATCAGGCCAGGTACACATTTATGTAAACTACAAGCTTTCATCTCTTGTACATGTACTTAAAAAAAAAAAAAAAAGGTCTTTACAGACATTTTTGGCCTTACCTGGTTACCATGTGCCTGCCCCAGGATGGTCAATGGCAGGAGGAATTGCTCTGTCTGTGGGCGTATCCTTGGTAGTAGACCATCTATGGTCATAGAGGCCCTTAGTCTCTACTTCCACCTTGGCTGTTTTCAGGTGAGAGGGTTTACCTGGGTTAAGGTGCAGTCACAATAGCTCCAATACCTGCAAATAACTGCAACTGGTCCTCATCTCTAAGGAAACTATTCCATTTTTGACATGAGGTCCTTCAGTTTTTTATAGTTAAAATGTGATCAGAGTTCATGGTTGGCCAATAGAAACACAGAACTTATTTTCTTATAGTTCAGTCACTTAAACTCTGAACGCAACAACAAAATGGAAACGGCAAATGATGCACAAAACACATGATGACTGTGACAGCAATAATTTCTGTGAATCTGCATACAATGCTGCAGAATCTGTAGGCAAGAGACAAGAAAGCTGCCACTGGAAGACAACAGACTTGGTCCTGATTTCTTACGTGTTGATCAAAGTTAATTTTGAAACTTTGAAGTTCAATACTGCCGGAGTGTAGGATTTCCACCACAGTAGTGGATCGATTTTGCTTTTTTTTTCTTATTATTTTCTGCCCTATGGTAGATGCACATTTTTTATTTTTTATTTTTTTAAAGAGGTAAAGTTTCAGACTTAGATATGCATACATGTGCAAGTTATCCCTGTGAGCTAAATGCTCAGACTCCTCTAAACTTTAGATTTATGACCCCTTTTTTTCTAATCTATGATCTCATCTGGGGTATATCTTAATATGGTGATATCAAGCACACAGCTCTGGCTTAACAGAAGCCACACCCATCTGCTGTTTGAATCTGTTTGCGAGGGACAGCCAATCAGAAGAAAGTTGATTTAAAGGGAGAGGTGCTAAAATGACATGTTTTATGCAGAGGCCTAATATGTACATGACTTATGCAAATTTTCAGTTCTACTCCAATTTTCAGTTTTTATTCTTGTTATGTTACTTAACATAACAGGTCCCAGTTAAATGAACATTTAAGAAAAAAAAAAACATACACCCAGTATAACTGAACCCTGTATGTGTTTTGGGGTTTAATTCTGAACAAAATTTTAGGGTTGAGACTAATGTGACTGCAACTTGCCTTGTGAGGTTGGCAGGAGTCTCATGTCTGTGGTCTGTTTTCCAATCATAGTTATCAGTTTGCATCTGCTAGGAGGAGTGTTTCTATCACTTTCATGAATCTATTTTTATTAGCCAGTCTGTCTCTTTGTCTGTGAAGCTTCTGGGGGTGGTGGTCAAGCCCACTGTTATGTTTGTCATTATTTTCTCAGTTACTTATTATGCGCATAGAGTGGAAGAAGCCAACCTGCTGTCCTGCTTTGCTTTTAGATCCTTGCTGTAAAAGTCTCACTGGCAGGGGACCCCTAGATTTAGCTGGCCTTGGTTCATTAGCATGTAGATGTAAAAGCAATTTCACTTCTGCCTCCCTGTAAGTCACCGATGCACATCACACTTGTTGTGATATTTATATGCTGTGGGGGTTTTACGCAAAACAAAGCTTGGTTATCCTGTGCTCGGGTGGCGGACCGTCTGGTGAAATAATTTAGACGCTAAAGGCCCACGTCACAGCTCGGCTGGATTTGTCTTAGATGGTCCCTAAATCCTTTTTCACTTCCCTGTCCTCCCCTCAGTGCGTGGGCTGCCGTCAACATCTCGGAGGAAGAGAGAAAGGAGCCCAGGTTCAAATCCGAAACAGGAAGCCCTTCTGTGAACGCTGCTATTTCCAACTCAGGTGTAAGTATTGGTCATTGTGAGACATGAACATCACACTTTAGTTTCTGTCCATCTATTAACCTTCCAGATTGGTTTTTCATTTTTTAACATTGCATTATGCATGACTTTCTTAGTCTATAAAATCATTTTTGTTTAATTATTGTTCTGTTGAAAAACTGGAATTATTACCCATCACCCTCCTGAAAGTTAACTTTTCTTATAATACTTTAAAATGTGTTTAAGATGTCACATATTTACAGCTTTACAAACTCGAGCTTGTTTTTCAAGGTACCATGTTTACTTGCATTTTAGTCACCCCCATGTGAGCAGCTTGCTGTACTCCAGATTGAAGAGTAAATACAGTGGCAGGCAGTCTCTGAGCAAAGCTATGCTGTACAGAGGAAATCGCAGCCAATTCAGAGCTTCTACTTCGTGAGCATCGGTAAAACTTTATAATCTTATATAGTTTTGGCAAAGTAGAACCTTTACTTTTATTTTTTAAATGAGATAAGTGGTGCCTTGTTTGACCACCTTTCCCCTGCTAATTTATTTCCAAGTTAGATTTAATATATGAAATAAAGATATGATGGGAACTGTTTGATTTACGCCTTCATCTTAATGCTAGTGTCTTCAGATCCGTGTGCCGTGTTAAAATTATCAGATATTTCTTGAGGCTATTCGTGTAACTCTGTATGGAAATGAATTTTAACGTGTACTGAAGCACTTTCTGTTCTGTTGTAATGTCACCGAATACATACTGGGGTAAATCACTGGTGTATATATATAATGTATGACTGTCTCACATACAAATCAGCCTCTTAATTGAAATGTCTTTGTAAATAAAGTGGACTGAACATATACATAAGTGTTATTTGTTGTTCATTTGTATACCACATGGTGGCAGCATTGATCTTACATTGATCTCATTGTCACTGTAGGCAGAAATGACTTCAGTTGACTCTCTTTACATGTTGGTGAACATACTGACTGTTTAGGTAATGCAATGACCAGTGCACCTTTATTACTGGATGTACTAATGTCCTAACTGGAGTAAAGTATCATCAATAAACGAAAGAAGCAGAACATTTACACAACGTGTTTTACATTGGTAAAAGAAATTTGGAAGAAGGAACAAATTGAAAGCCTTCGCCCAGCCGGATACTGGATGATGTTGCACCTTTAGTCGGTGATGATGAGGTAATAGAAAGCAGTCCAGTCATTTCTGTTTTTAAAAAGAAAACAAAGAAACCCCAAAACATCAAAAAAACAAAGTACATCCTCACTGGTTTCTTAGTAATTCAGAGGGTAAGTAGCAGCCAGGTCCTGCTAATAAAAAAAACACTTGATTTAATTGATCATTGGGAAGTGTGAGTGCTTCTGTAAAAGCATAAGCTTTGCTGGTTTTGGACTATTTAGATTTGTTAACACAATGCAGCAAAATTCCCAGGAGTGGGCACCCTGCAAACAAAACCAAACCAAAAGAAAAACAAAGCTACATCTCAGACTCTACATGCTTCAGTCAGCACACTGATTTTTGAACTTCCTGACATTACAATTAGAAAAACACTAAAATATGGCTTGTCTGGAAGAGCTGCCAGGATGAAGCCTCTTCTAAAAACAACATGGCAGCGCAGCTTAGGTTTGCAAAGTTGCATCTGAACTAAACCACAAGACTTCTGAAACGATGTCCTTTGGACAGACAAGACCAGAGGTGGAGCTGTTTGGCAGTTGTGCGCAACTGGTGAGCACAAACGCCTCATACCAACTGTAAAGCACAGTGAGGGGAGGGGTGATGATCTGGGCTTGTTTTTCAGCCATCATGGGCACCTTGGAGGCAGTTCAACCATGAACACTTGCATACCAAAGTATTCTAGGACTCAAAGATGAGGCCAAACTGAGTCGTGTCGCAGGATAATGATCCCAAACACCAGAGTAAATCTACACAGTGGCTAAAAAAGAAAAGAATCAGGATGTTACAATGGCCCAAAGTCTAGACCTTGACCTGAAATGCCAGCAAATCTTAATGAACTGCGGCAACTTTGTAAAGAAGAGTGGGCCAAATTCCTCCACAGCGGCACGAGAGACTGATAGTCACATACAAAACGATAACTTCAAGTTATTGCTGCTGAAGGTGGTTTTACAGGCTATTGAATCTTAGCCTCTACTTAAAATTCTACAGTCATGTAAAAATGTTTTCACGGGACTGTAGAATTAATGAGGACTTGTTCTGTAATTTAGAAGATGACTTTATTTACCTCTGCTACACTTGTATGCAGTAGCAATGACAAAATGATATCACTGGTTAAGCATAAAGGACTTGTATGGCAGTCATTTTTGGCAAAGTTGCTGCAGTGCAGTGTAAGGTGCAATATTTTTTTATATTTTATATTCTTTTCCCTTCCAAGTGTGAAGGGAGTACTTTTTGCTTTTTAAACAGTTTTGAAGAATGTCAAAACATTAGTGGACACTTTGTCCATTTATGGTCCAAATACCAATCCCCTCAAAGCTTGTAAAAAGGAAATGTCCTCTGTTGAAATGAGCAGTGACAGACAAAACTTCTCTCGCCTCCAAAATGCTGGCGTAAGAGAGAAAATGTCCGTGTGTCATTTGAGTGAACTGTTTTACAGGAAGCTGATGAAGCAAGCTTAAAGCAGCAACAAGGAAGAGAAAGTTTACTGTCCTCTAACCTTTCAATAGGGAAGTGCTGTCCAGTGGTAGATTCAGTCTGTCATCCAGCTTTAAGAGGCTGTAATGTTAGCTCCAGCTTAATGTGGGCATTAGAGGTCGGTTCAGGGTTACAGGTGACCTTTTCTTTGAAACATGAGGAAAGCTACTTGCATGAATATGGCCATTATGCAAATACTGGGGCAAAACAAAGGCAGCATTTCATTCGTAGGAGGAAGCTGTGCGCCGATGCAAATGTGTTGTTATTCACAACACAAAGACAACGTTGCCTGATATGTTTTGTTTTGCACTGGATGAATAAAATGAGAAAACGGCAACAGCGTTGTCAGAGGTTGCTGGATCACTGAGCTCTCTAGGAATACACACTCGCTCTGACATGTTGAACACTGGTCATTTGGAGCTCTGGGCTTAAGAGAAGGAATTTTTTTTAAAAAATGTTTTACTGTGATCTGGTCTTTCGGAAGAGCGAGGTCAGCTCCCCAAAGACATTTTTTTCAGTTTGACATGCTCCATCTGTTGAGCATGACAGTTGTGGCTCCGCTGTGACCTATTTAAATACCAGAAGTACAGTAAGATGAGGACAGCGGAGAACCAAACACACTGTGCAGCCTTAACATATTTACCACGAGCTAAAAGACTAAACAGAAGTAGGACAATGTTTACAGAGACGTTATGCCAAAACACATCTCTCACCATAATGACTGAACTGTCGCTGAGACTTGAATTCTTTACGTGTCAAGATGTTAACGCTTTCCCAGTCACCAATAAAACTGGGAATGCAGCAGGAGTCTGCTGTATGTCTCTCTTTTTTCCCCTCTAGCTTTTGCCATGATGTTTGGAGCGTCAAATAACAAAAGGCCGCATTCAGTCACCAGTGTAGTGTGTACCAGGAAAAATTCTGGACCACAAGTAGACAGCTGAATGATGTGGAATTATTTTTAAACTAAAAAGCTTTTATGTTTTTAAATCTGACAAATCTTTAAGTGGCAATAATTAACCTAAGGGTGCATGATGGGAAAAATCTGCTGAACATCACTATAGTGCATGACAAGGGCTACAGCTGCAGTTTTTCTTTCTTAAAAACAGGATTTCAGAGTGGCCAAGTGGAAAATCATGACCCTGGTCTTTGTCAAGAAATCTTAAGAATTCTTCAGGCTTATTGCTTCCTTTGGGTAAAGGGAAAGTACCTCGAGATGTCCTAAGGCTGTTATTTATGGTACTAATTTAAAATTGCTTCTGCCGGTGGTTTCGGAGGACAGGGTTTTTCATGCAAAACTCTTCCCACAAAATTTCAGAGTGCTTATTTGTTCAGCTGGACACATTTAATCATAGCGTGCAGACTACTACTACTCTCTTTGTTAGATTGGCATCTTCTTCCCACACATGTTTTATACTCAAATTCCCCGTCTGACAAATATACAAAACTATCCCAAGGCATAGGACCAGAAGAAATGGGGTCATTTGTTTTCATCTCTGCAAATGCTAAAGTTAAAAGACCATCGCTTAGTCTCTGAGCTTTGTGATGTTTTACAACACAAAAACTGGTCTTATTGAGATATAGCACCTGTCTCATAACTGCTGATGTTTTTATAATAACACAGCAAACAGCTTGACAGTTAAACATTGCCAGCCTGCTGCACTGAACAGCCAGTGTTTGTGCAATCTCACAGGAAAGATGCTGACATGAGGAAATTTAAGCTACAAATATGCCACAAAACCACCTCCTTGTCTACATGCAGATCATCTGTTACACTATGACTCCATATTTGGCTGCCTATCTGGGCAACACAGGAAGCACCCAGGAGAAGTGGGCGGGCCGACGCCTTGCAGATATCGATGCGTCCTATGAGTGAAGCGTGCTGTAACATTATCCAGAGCCCCAACGGACAGGTATAGAAATCAAGCTAAACAGACGGCCTCCAGGCTGATCTGGAATCTGTTTTGACAATCCTCATTTCATCTCTAATCATGACTGTTTTTCAGCTGGGATTCTAGTACATTTATTCAGATGATGAACATTTATGAAGGTTACATTTCCTCGCATGTAATTAAGGACCGTTTAAAATTTTGTTTCATACTTTTTTTAAACTGCACTTAAGATTTAAGAACAGTTGTTCTTAAATGAATTGCGTCATTCAATTCATTTCATCATAGTACATCAAAGTAGTGGGAAAATTCTTGTATGTTGATTTAAAAAAAAAAAAAGTATGGGAATCATCCCCTGGTTACCATAAACATGTAATTTTCATGGCAGGCTTTTTATTATTAATGACCAAGTTCACTTTGGACTGAAGTGTTGGTCGAACCGGCAGGCATACACTTCACGAAGAGGATGAACGAGCTAATACTTTCTGAAAATATATATCGGTGCATTTAAATAAAGCAGAATATCATGAAAAGACAGAAATATTTCAAGCCTTTTATTTTAATTTTGACAATTGTGGCTTATATAATGGTGAGAGACCACAGTCACCAAGAACACCATTGGTAACACACTATCAGTAATGGACTGAAATCTTGCAGCACCCACAAGGTCCCCAGACTTCAGTCCTATTGGAAATCTGTGGAGGGAGCTGACACTTTGAGTAGGGAAGTGTTTTCTCTGGTTCAATAGTGACTCCGTATGTGACAATATGGAGCCAGGAATGTGACAGTTGCAGCTCCTTTCCTGTCCGTGCCTGCTCTTGGTGCACTAGCAGACCTTGTGAAGATCTTCCAAGTTTTTCAGTCAACTCTTCTTAACAATCTTCCCAAGGTTGCAGTCATCCCTCTCATTTTTCCCTTCCAGTCAACTTTAGTAATATAGCACTCTGACAGCCAGCCAGCTTTGCTTGCATGTACTGAACTATACTGAAATATGTACAATAGTACAAAACCAGCCTGTAAATAGAAAGATTGATATGAGCCAAGTTAAACACCCAGAGATCCCCCCACCCAGAATCAGTTACTGACAGAAATTTTTTT